GTGGCCGCTGCTCCGGGCCGCCTCGCTCCCCCGCGCCGCGCCGCGCCGCGCCCGCCGCCACGAGCTCCCGCGCTGACGCAAGCCTCCCCCCGCCCGTCTCCGCCTCCACAGCATTTCTCCCTCGCGCCCGCACCTCCCACCCGCGGTGCCGCCCTCCCCCACCCGTCCCTCCACATCCTTGCCCAGCTCTGCGGGAGGCAAGGACGCGGGAGGTCTCTCTTCTTGCTCAAGACGGTCGGGCTCGTCGGAAGAGGACCAGGGAACATTGCTGTGCCGTGAGGCATGTGCTGTCCCAGGCCACCCCGCCTTCGCCGCTGGTTGCGTGCGAGACGGGAGCCTAGGCCACTTGCCTGCCATTGTAGCCCCCCGCCCCCGCCGGCCACTTCTACTTTGACACCGTGACACGAATCAGCAAGTGCTGTAGGACCCAGGAGTGCTCTCCCAAGCAGTGCTGGCTGGTAGCCAACAGAGACATTGCCCAAGCTAAAACACACGATGTCTTCCAAATGTGAGAGGCAGATTATTTTGCACAACCATACCCTGTCCCTTATATCTGTCCCTTCACACTCCAGGAGAAAGTCCGTTTAATCCTCTCACTTGGCCAAGATGCCCATGACATCTGAAAATCCTGCCGGAGGGGTCTAAGGACCCTGATCAGTTCACGAAAGGGGTTATATACCAGGTGGTTACCAAGGACAGCGGGGGTCCAGACTCGATGACCCTCTCCCCTACCGCATTTATTCACACAGCCTGAAAAGAGAAGGCCGAGAGGGGACCTGAGAGCAGCTTACTGCTACGTCAGGGGAGTATATCAAGGGCTCGGTGAACAACTATGCACCAGGACACCCTTGGGGAAAACCAGGAGTAATGGCCACAAACTCCTGGAAGATGGATTCAGGCTCAATATCAGGAAAAACTTCTTCACAGTCAAGGTGTCCAGACTGTGGAATAAGCTCCCTCCAGAGGTAGTGCTGTCACCTACCCTGGAAATATTCAAGAGGAGACTGGACAGTCACCTTGCTGGGGTCCCCTGACCCCAGTTGTCTTTCCTGCCTAGTGCAGGACTGGATGATTTTCCAAGGTCCCTTCCAGCCCCTTGCAATGTATGAGTCTATGGGCTGACCCACTGGCCATGATTCCCTTCTGACTCAATACATCCCAATTAGTAACAGCTTCAAAAGAACCGAGCTTGGAAATGTTATGGACAATCTCACTGCCTTTGTCACACTACTATACCCAATCACAACTCCCACTCCAAGACTTCTTTTCCACAGATTTTCTTTCAGCTTTTCTGGATTCAGAATCAGAGCAGCAATCTCTCTAGTTCAGTAGTCTGTCTCCCAAACTAGCACATATCTGATGCTTCAGAAGGTGCAAGAGCCCGTAAGTGGACAGTTATGAAATAACCTCTGAAAAGAGAAAATTCTTTTTTTGTACTCTTGCAAATTACAAGTTCGTTTGCAAAAAACGGATGTTTATCATGCTTTGAACAAACTTCATTTCAGCAGTAGTTTTATTTAAAAAATACAGCATGATTTCTGCCCACATCCCTGAAGAAAATTTTCTCCAGTTACATATCTATGATATTGAGTCCTTTTAGGAATACCTTTCCTGTTCAGATCTGTTACCAAGGCACTGCAAGCTGTTTGGAGAAGATGACACCTTATTGATTTTAATAAAGTGTTAAAGTTTAAATACTTGATTGAACCATCATTTACATTTGCAACATTACATTTTAACTGTATTCAGCTGTGCCAAACACAATTTCTTAGAAGTCTTTCCAGAGTGAGGTAAAGGAGTCCAACTCAGCCTGTAAAATGTAATAGCATAATAGCAAAAGCTTTTTTCCCCCCCTTCCTTCACCAAGGAACTGCAAAAATAGTCTCCCCTCTCAAAAGGATATGAGCAACATGGAAAGGAGTCTGATGTTCTACCACAAAGAGAAAGTCATCAAAAAAGAGAACCGAGGTAAATTCCTATCTGCTGCATGACTGTACACTGCAAAAAAATAATTAGAAGATTTAAACCCAACTAAACAAGAAATACACAAAATATTTTGCTCAAATTTACATCTTAGTTCAAGAAGACAAAGTAGATTCTACTTCTAATTTTCCTATAAGGTCATCCTTACAATTCAGAGTTTGAACATGTGCTTATATGATTAAGCACAGAATGAAACCCAGCAGAAATGGGGGCAACCTTAACCCTTCACTTATTCACTTCTTTATTATTTTAAATGATGATTCAGTCAAGAGTTACTTCAAACTTTCTTCAGGACTCCACCCTTAGGAAAATGTCCACGTAGTCAGGGAAAACTTGTTTCAGAAAGTGTCTGATTTTTTTCTTTTACATCTATTCCTTTAGATTCTAGCCCAACTGGTTGTGTCTTCATAAATTCTGTGAAAGAAATGGGAAAGCTAACTCTTCCTGTGATGACTGGTTTATTAGAAGGAAATGTGAAACTTTTTTCCACTACTTACGCAATGCACTTTGTGATTTGTTTCATTGAAAGATTAAATTGTGAACCATACAGCTGCAAAACATACTCATTTAGAATTGTTCTCTCTCTCTCTCTCTTTCCCATTGGAACAGACACACTGAAAATTTGAACCTGAACAAGAAACTGGGAGGTAACAGTAGAAGCTTTAGGCACCAGAGTGAGATAGATCAAACAAGACAAAAACAGTTTTAAGGTAACTTTCAATAAGAATATGAACTGAATTGAGATCAACGAATTTGGGAAGAGGTGTCGATTTGGGTTCAGTTCCAAAAATATTCTCAATAGGCCTATGAGATCAACTAATCCAACAGAATACACTTTTTTTGCTTCACATGAAACCAGGCTAGAATGCAGGTTGGGATAACCATTTCAGATTTTGATATATGTTGGAAGCTGCATTCAAATTCTCTTTGCTCATGCATACAACATAAGATGACTTAGTTTTACTAAAGATTTTGGAGTGAATGACATATAGTCTTTATATATGATTATAGGGATCTATCTGGTCATTTCCCAGACTCCCAGGAATCCCCAAGATAGCTGATGGAATATCTCCCCCAACTTTTCCCTCAGAATATGTAACCTGGAGTGGGAGGCCTGCAAAAGGGCCTTTACACCCTATCTCAGGCTAGAGCATTGTCAGTAGCACCAGGTTCTAATAATAAATATCCCCTGAACAAAAATATATACTATAATGTGATAGTCATTCTAAGCTGATAAAGTCTAAGGATCATAAAAAATGTTTCCTTACATTTTTGCTCTAAATGCAATAAAAACAGTGTAATAACAACAACAATAAAAAAAGCAACCAAACCAAGAAAAAAAAAGTATTTTGGTAGTATTTATAATACAAGCATTCAGCAGCATGCTAGTACATAAATGACAGAAGTAATGGGAAACTTATTAGAAACAAACATAAGGCTTGTGCCAAAGTAAAGAACATTACTCAAAGTAGACAAAATAGTGAACAGCACATTCAATTAACAAACTTATTTATAACACAATGATTAATCTTTATAATGTTGTGATTATAGCCATAAAACTGCCGTCTTATTCTTTCTGTTCTGTATCTTTAATTTAATGTTTTACTACATGCAGATTATAGTAGACAGTGCCACATTACTACTGACATCTCTCATTCTAGTATGGGATAATCTCCTGTTTTGGACAGGCAGATTCTCTTACTTGTGCAATATTTATTTAGCAATGAACTATAGCTGCAAAATATGGAACTGATTCCAAGGTTCTGCAAAGTTCAAGAGTGTTCATACTTGACAATTTACCATAGGCTCACCTCAGTAAGTCATACAAAATTAACCGAAACACATATCAAGAAACTGGGAGGTAAGTGACAAATGTAACAGATACAATGAATATTGAGTTTTATAAATATGTTAAGTCTTTTCAAATCAAGACCATATTCAAAGGAAGATATAGAAGTGTGTGCATTTTTTTCTTTTTATTAAAACAAGTTGCCTTGATTGACCATATTGGTGAAGCAGCTACCGAAGTTATACCAGTTTCATGACAAATAAATAAATAAATAAAATGGTGTAGTGTACATCCACTGCTGTAGCTGAGGAATCCTAAACCCTTTATCTCATGTGACCCTGACCAACCCTAGCCTGGAGCCCACATCTCTGCCTAATCCAAGTGCTATATATAGTAAGTTATCTGCTAATGGTGGCGTCATGTGGACTCCTTTAAACAGGCCCAGGAAGCCTATAAGGCAAGGTTGGGGTGCCGGACAGCTCCATCTTCTTGGTCTTTTCTGTTTCCCTTTTTCTGTTTACATATTTAAACCAGAAAAACATCCCACAAAACTAGAGCAAGCCTTGTTCAAATACGAGATAAAAGTAAAATTGATGCACTGCATAGTCAAAGCTATTGAAGAACTACTTAAGAGAAAACAAAGAAAAACTAGATTGCAAGAAGGAATGGAAGAAAATGAAGGAGAAAGAAAAACAAACTGCTGTTATAGAAAACTAGCACAATTTGTTCAAGATGTCAAGGCTCAGTATTTAATAAAACAGGAAATAAGATAAATCCTGCAGCCAAATGGACTGGGAGGAAAGGAGAGTATATGTCTTCTTCACTGTGTGTCTGATCCTGCTTAGCAACAAGGAAAAAAAAGCCATCCAGTTGGGCTTAAGTAGGAAACAGAACTTCTGATAGCTGCTATGTTCTATCTGCAACTA